GGTTGTTGTTACCTAAAAGGTATGTCATTTCCCCTTTTGCATGGGAGTTGACCTTGGGGGTACTTCTCAACCACCAAGGTAAATAGTAGACAGTGAGGTCCAGATGTGAGATCTTCTTAAGTTTACAAACCCTCTGATGGGCCCTGATATTAAGGTGACCTCTTGTCATGGACTTTGTTACTAAGAACTAATGAACTTCAGGTATGGACAGCACCCTACGCTGAATGCACCATCCTCTTAGGGCACTGCTAGGGATAGCCATCACAGCCAATTTTTCTAATATAATCGCATGTGTATGGAGAGGATTATGTTACTGTCAGCACCTGTGGTAGTGAGCTCTTGTTGATACTCAACTTGGGGTTCCCCAGGGTGCGCAGTCTAAGCCCCAGCCTGCTTCTTCACCAGAGCCCCTGATGGTGGGGATGGACTTGCAGCAAGCTGGGACCAGGTCGCGGCCCCCAGGTACGCCCAGCTGAGGTTGAGGAGACCTCTCGCGGGAGCAGAGTATAATGGGAGGAGACAAACAGAATCCGATAGGCTAGCCGAGGTCAGGACAGGCAGAAAACAAGCAAGGTCAGAGAACGAATCCGGGGTGTGTACACAAGTAGTCAATGTAGGATTCAGACAGTAGTAACACACAGGAGCTCCAACAACTAGGAAGTTGCTCAGGCAAAGTGGCCTAGACTGAGCATGTCTTATATAGACAAGAAAACAAGGAGGCGGACCAGGAAGTGATGGAAGGGAAGGAAATAAAACACCCATAGATGAGCACAGACAAACACATGAGAAGGGATCAGGAACAGGACTGCAGCAAGAAGGTAAGAACACAAACAAGAAACTGCAGGCTAACTTGTGACAGTTACAATTCTTAGAAGGATGCAAAGATGTTTATTCTGCAGTTCTGAAAAGTAAAAGAGAACATTTATTACAGAGACAAATGTCTGAGTCATTTACTGGGAAAGAAGTAAATGGCTGTGGTTAAGTGAAATGAGTGAGCAGTGCATTTAACCTTGCCTCATTGCCTCATGCATTTTTGCAGCCACTTTTAGGGGCATCAGGCATTTTGTTTTACTGCTTCCAAACGCCCCTCCATATTATACTATGTGTCCATGCACACATCGACTTTTAGAAGCTTTTAGTGGCAGGGGCTTTTAGAGGCAGGAAAAAACCCACTACCAGTGCTACCAGGAACAGCAGAGTTTGGGCAGTAAAAAGCTTGATGCTGCTAGAAGTGGCTAAAGCTGCTAGGCACGTTTAGCACTTGAGCATTAGCTAATTTCAATGGTCAAAATAAATTAATTATTCTTAACAGGAACAGAACCAGCTGCTTGCTGAAGAAATGGGATGAACACCTTCTGTAAGTGAGTGTGTAGGGGGCCTCTGGTGTAAAGGGGGCCTCTGGCCTGAGAGTGTGAAGCCTGCACAAAGTGTACTTAATGGTTGGCAGTGAGATCCTTGGCCCTTAGAGGGCAATCTGCTAAATCCACATCTCACCATGGGTTCTGTCTGTGTTATCTTAAAGTCTATATAGCCCTACCAGTTCTTTTACTAGGTCAACAAGTTAATTAATGCCTATGCTTTGGAGATGAAGACAATGAGAGTGGTTGAAAAGTTTGGCAAACAAAACTAAGCAGGGCTGACACCACATAGGCCACCAAAATGCTGTGGGTTGTCAGCCCACAATACGAAATTAAGAGTGTAGTGCAATTCTGGCAGATGAGCAGGTATTTTTCTGTATTTGCAGAATCTTTAAAGGGCACGTGTGCATTAGTGTATTTAGGTTTTGTGCTTCCCTAGGCAACACAAATCAGCCCTGACATTGACCAACAACACCCCCCCCACCTCACGAAGAGAGCCTGACATTGACCAACAACACCCCAGACCCACCTGCACCCAAGAGAGCCTTCCAATACCACCACCCTCACATACACTGGCCACCCCACCCTAGCGAGAGAGAGAAGACACTCGCCTTCACAGCTCCGGACATTCCGCAATTGAGAGATGGTGCATACACCATCAAGCAGCCCACAACCTCTCCCACATCCCACCTGGTCCCCATGCTGCGTGTGCCCCTTCTTCCATCCCTTCTTCTGGGGGGCGGCGCTGCCCCCCTGAAAAATACCGCCCTAGGCAATGCCTTGTTTGCCTTGTGGTAAATAAGCCCCTGCATGTGTGCATGTATTGCACTAATATACGGTATATGCTTTTCTTTTCCTTTTGCTTGATATATTCTAAAAAACATTTTACTGAGATACTGAATAATGTGCGTTGAATTTCTTTGATTTTATTAAGACAAATTTTTTTTTAATGTTTGGGAAAAAAAATGGCCTCTAACAATAAGAATACCTTGAGAAAAGGCCAGCAACACTTTAAAGTTTATCAGACTGTAATTAGAAAGGTACTATAACGTCATCGTGTCAAGAGAGTCATCAACATTCATCACTGACAGCTTGCCAGTTCCCGACACAAAAGGGCGCCCATGTTGCTGAAAAGCAACACTCAAAATGTGATTCATGTCGTCTCTTTTGGCTTGCTGGCAGAAGTTAGATGTATTTTATGTGTGATGAAGTTACTTAACCTTTTCATTTGCACTCACTTATTTTTTACTGTGGAAAAACCATGCTGCAAATTAAAGGTTCTCTTTAAACAAGGGAGCACTTGATTGCCCTGATATTTGAATGACTTGTTGAAATGTGCTAGCTGGTGCCAGCATGGTCTGTCAGGCATATTTTGTCAAATAACAGCATTTTACTTTGCTGTGATCACAATGAAAACTGATCCCGTACTTGCTTTTGACAACGGAATGTTAGAGACCTCTGAGAATTTTCAATCTGGAATGAGACAAAATGAGAGTTTAAAGTCGCCCAGACCTTGTATCTGAGTGGGAAGATTGCATTAATCTTTACTGTCTCAGTGGCACTCAGCCATGAATTTTTGAACATGAGCCAAGCCAGATTTAGACAAATAAAGGAGCGCTAACTGCTGCAACTATGCAATACAGGTGCCAAACAGTTGTGGGTATATACAGCACCATTGAAAAAATTGTGTTTTAAATCTATATGTGTCAACTAAGTCATACTTGTGGAAGCATTACCTGTCATTGATGATTAAAAATGCATGTTACATTGAGAAAGAGACACTCCTTCCTCTAATTCTGCAGTAAGGGCACTACAGTAAACAAGTCTTCTGTCTAAATTAGAAAGTATACCAGGGAATAAACAAAGGATCATGTGTCATTTGTGGTGTGTGCCATGTTAACTAAGAAGATAGACCTGTTCCAGATCTATCTGTGCCCCCCCATGCCAGTTACTTTACAGATTGAAATAGAAACTGGCACAGGGTCTGTTCCAAATTACCAGAGGGATTGGCAGTGTTCAATAAAGAAAACTGCCACAGATCCCTGCTAAGTCAGACCCAGCAAAAGATATGTGAGTTGTCTAGAAGAGTGGCGCAGGCATTATGCTCACACCACTCTCTCTTTAATCCCCCCATAGCATTTTCAATTTTTTACATCAAAATGTAAAACAAAATCTGCTTAATGTAAATATTGATATCAATGTGTATTAAAGCAGAATAAAACTGCGATCAGAGGGCGGAGTTCTTCCTATAATGTACAAATATGAATAGCATATCTCTGTTCCCTCTTTTCCAACACCAGCAAGTTAGTACACTGCTATCTTTTCCCATCCAGTATGACCCCCTCTCGATCCAGAGAAGTGCACAGAAGCCTCGGCTGTCCTGGGTACCTCTCTCCTCATTGGCTGAGACAGCAGCAGGGGGCCATTGGCTCTTACTGCTGTCAATCACACCCAGTAAGACATTGAGAAGAGAGCTGGGGGTGGTGCCAGGCCACAGCTCTACGCTTCTTATGGATGCATAGAGCGGGGCTCTAGAGTGAGCATGCACCAGTGCCCCCATAACAAGTGGCTTGCCATTGGGGGCACTGGTCAACACCTTTGTCGCTGAACATGCTGATAGTTTTTTTCGCTGAGCTGCACCAACCCTCTTAATCTGTTGCAGCCCGAGATGCCCTGAATATGGATATCTCTGAATCTGAACTCTACCAAGCCATCAAATCTTTGAAGGCCTCAATGGGAGTAAGATCTGGGTGTCTTGATTGCGGAGGAGGATTGGCATAGGGCCTGGGGGATGGTGGCGAAATGTTCATTCAATACAGTCACTCTTGAGGCAGCCTACAATGTTCTCCTGCGGTGGTACTGGGTCCCAGCTCGGACTGCTCACTTTAATCTGACTGGCGGAGATAGATGTTTCTGGAACTGTGGTCTACGCGGGGAAGTCTTGCACATCTGGTGGTTTTTCCTGCGATTGATAGGCTTCTGGTCTAGGGTTTTTTGTTTGCTACAAACAAAATTTCATATTACGGTCTGTAGGGATGCAAGGGTGACCCTCCTGCATTGCCCAATTTTGGGCCTGTCTAGGTCTCAGCAGAAATTGGCATCCTACCTATTTATTTCAGCCAAACGTGCTATAGCTCAAGCTTGGAGAACACCTTCGGTTGTCTTCCAGGCAGTGAAGACCCGGATGAATGCTATGTTGATCATTGAACAGATGTCTAGCATTCTTTATGATTCTCAGCTGAGATTCCTTAAGGTTTGGGAACCTTGGATACGTTATTCCTTGTCATCCCTGCCTCCTACTAGTTATGGCCTCTTATAGTCGCTGCCTATGCTAGCCCTGGATCCGTGATTCTTCTAGTTTCCTTTTCCTCCATGTGTTCTTTCTGATTCCTCTTTTTGTTTGTTTTATTTTTTTCTTTCCTCTTCTTTTTTTGGTAATATGTTGGATTACTACTGCTAATATTTGGTTTGGCTTTTTGCCATCCCTGCCCGCTGGCGATCCGGTACCTGATAACCCGGTGCCCGCTGTCGTGCCAATTGACTCAGAGCCCACTGTCGTGCCTGGTGACTCGGTGCCCACTGCCTTGCCAGATGACGCGGTGCCCGCTGTCGAGCCAAATGACCTGATGCCTGGTGACCCCATGCCCGCTGTCGAGCCAGACAATCCAATGTCTGACCCAGTGCCCGTGGTCATGCCAGTTGACTCGGAACCCACTGTCGTGCCTGGTGACTCGGTGCCCACTGCCTTGCCAGATGACGCGGTGCCCGCTGGCGAGCCAAATGACCTGATGCCTGGTGACCCGATGCCCGTTGTCGTGCCTGATGATCCGGTGCCCGCTGCTCCGTCTGGGGGTCCGGCGCCCGCCGCTCCGCCTGGGGGCTCGGTGCCTGCTGCTCCTCCTGGGGACCCGGTGCCTGTCGCTCCTCCTGGGGGCCCGGTGCCTGTTGCTCCTCCTGGGGGCCCGGCACCCACCGCCCCTCCTGGGGGCCCGGCGCCCGTCGCCCCGCCTGGGGGCCCGGCGCCTGCCGCCCCTCCTGGGGGCCCGATGCCCGTTGCTCCGCCTGGTGGCCCGGTGCCTGCTGCTCCGCCGGGGAGCCCGGCGCCCGCCACTCCGCCTGGTGGCCGGTGCCTGCTGCTCCGCCTGGTGGCCCGGTGCCTGCTGCTCCGCCTGGTGATCCGGTGTCCAGCCCAATGTGCCTCTGCCCGGAGTCCAGATTGATGTGCCTCTGCCCGGAGTCCAGCCCGATGTGCCTCTGCCCGGAGTCCAGCCCGGTATGCCGCTGCCCGGAGTCCTGCCCGGTGTGCCGCTGCCCGGAGTCCTGCCCGGTGTGCCGCTGCCCGGAGTCCTGCCCGGTGTGCCGCTGCCCGGAGTCCTGCCCGGTGTGCCGCTGCCAGGAATGGACTTGCCAGTAATGGTGGGACTCACCTGCCTTGTGGGCTGCAGTACCAGGGCTGGCCAGCGGGTGCTCCGAGCAATCAGAGACTCAACCCTGCAGCCAGCCAAACACATGAAGCTGATTATGCAGATGTATTTAAGGGATGGCCAGACCTGCAGTCTGGGCCTTGGTGTGTGTTTTTCCTGGGCCCCTGTATCTTGTTACCTGCATTCCTGTTCCTGTCCCTGTCCCTGTCTGACTGATTCGTTGCTGACCCTGCCTGATCCGGACCTCTGCTGACTTCTCCTGTTTGATCCCTGGATTGTGACCCTGACCATTCTCTGCCTGACCCCCTGTACCTACCTGCCCGTTAGTTGCTGTACCCGGCTCGTGACCTGACTACTCTCTGCCTGCTCCTCCTGTTTCTACCTGCCCGATTGTTATCGACCCGGCCTGCCTGACGACGCTTGCATTGTATGTATTGTTATCTGTGGGTGGTTTGGTTTGGTTCGTTTGCACTGTGTTATGTTTTAGTATTGCACTGCGTTTATGTTTGTATTGTTAGTCTTTAATAAATTGTCTTATTGTTTATAACATATCTGAAGCCTGCGTTTCCCTGCGTCAGTTCACATACCTCTGGTCATACCCTGGAGCCCTGACACTTTACATCTGGAAGAAAAGAAATTTAATCTCCAAACACGGAAAGGTTTTTTCACAGTGAGAGCTGTGAAATGTAGAATAGACTCACTCAAAAGTTGGTTCTGGTCAGCTCAGTGGATTTCTTCAAAAAAGGCCTGCATTCTTTCTTGGATACACAGAATATAACTGGATACTAACATTATAGGTAAAGTTTATCCAGGGAATATCTGATTGCCTCTCAGGGGATAAGGAAGGAATTTTTTCACAGCAGGAGCAAATTGGATCATGCTTTGCTAGTTTTTTTGCCTTCCTCTTGATCAACTGTGGGTATAGGATTATAACTTTTTTTTTTTTAATGGTTGAACTGGATGGACTTTTGTATTTTTTCAGCCAGACTAACTATGCAACTATGTAATAGTGAAAGCTGTGTGCTCATACATCTACAGTATGTGCTACGTAGATGTGCAGAAATTCGTTTTTTTTTTATTCTTGTGTGTGGCCAGTTGTCTACCAAACATCAAAAATCAGTCAGATTCATGTTTAGGTTTCTTTAATTTTAAATTGCAGTGGTAGTTGTCTCTGAAGATTGCAATTTTTCGAACAATTCACAGTTAAGGTAATCCTGTAATTAGTAATAAGGGAGGGTTTGTTGCCCGTATTGCTATAAATTATCAGCATGGAAATTAAACTGTGTAGTAGTTGTTCTGAAGATTGTAATTTATTAAACAATTCAAAACTAAGGGTAATCCTATAATTGTTTAGGAAGGAGGCTTTGCTGCTTCTCACAGTGTACTGTAGTCAGCACAGAAGGATTATTTATCTCCGTGTTATTTGAATTACTTATCTAGTGGTAGGGAGTGGTGTGTGATAACTACTTGCCTGACCAGCAATTGGTGCTCTATTGGTGCTGTACAGCAACTCTTCTATTAAAATGTGTAATGTTATTCTATTTTGTCATGTGTTTGCTTGTTTGTCCACTTTCTAAGGCTTAAAGTGAACCCATGCTTTGCTCCTGCAGGGTAAAACTAGAGGTTCAGTTTAATGGTGGCCCTACAAGCTGCACACACTAATCATACCTTTGCTCCCCCATTGCTCTATGTCATTAGAGTGAGTGGAAGAAGCCCTGTGTAAGATCCGAACTGTAATTTGGAAATAGCACCAGGTAGGATAAAATAGAGTATAGTAGTCTAAGATATTTATGTTAGTGAACAATCGCGCAAAGCAGCACATACAATTTCTATATCTGTTGCCTCCACTCACTAATACAAATTGATAACATCCAGAGCAGCATATGCACACATCTTAGGGTGATATAGGTTAAGCTTTTCATATAGCCAGAGGCAATACTGAGTATTATATAACACATTATCAACTCTCTTTCACTCCACATGCACAGCAAGTGTAACTTAAGCCAGAGCAGCCTATAAAGATGCATGGGGTCCAGGGGGTGTCAAGGTCAAGTATGAGCAGGGAGTGGTTGCCACTAACAATCACTGGAGATGCAAGGAGATGTCACTGACGTGCAATGCTCTGTAGGTAAAAGGTGTTTTCCTCTCCTAGGCAGGCTAAATGCAAAAATCCAATCTCAGATGTTACATTACATGTCATGGACCAGTGTATGGGTCTTGCATGCACACAAAGATCCGCACATGCATATAAACAATAACTCTACATGTACGGTTTTCTGTTGCTTTGTAGACATGCAACTAAAACAATAGTCCTGCACTTTTAATGTAGTTTTATTCCTATATGGTATGGTAGACCATAAAATCTAAACCTTTCCTGTTTAATCCAAAGAAAATAATTAAAATTTAAAGATTTAAAGTTGTATATCCTCTCTAACTATGCCATGGCTGTTGGAACATAACTTTAATGTATAGTCCCATTTCCTACCAGAACTTGGTAATTCTGGGAATGGAGTAATATAAATACCTACTACAATGCATTGCTTGGTGAACAGGCAATAACAAAGACTAAACATTATTAAGTGAGGGCAGGGAGGGGCCCTTAGCTATTTGCAGGCTCAGGGCAAAGCTGCAACTTACACATGGTTTCTGGCAGGTTTCCGTTGGCCAACAGGGTAGCAGATAGTGTCTAGAAGGTAGTGAAATGTTTACTTTACTCTTAATGGGAAAGGACAAGTTTGATTCAAGCATCTAGCCAGGAGGAAAAATATATGCTTGTTGGACCTATGCTGTCCTTGATGTTAAAAGTAACCATTTAAATCTACTTACCTAGGGCGCATGCGCGGCCGGCTCCGGAAATGGACGCTCAGTGAGTAGAGCTCTGTCCTCCCGCCAGCCTGACAGCAGCACACTCAGACCCCAGGGAATCAAACCACCGCCGACTGCTCACTTACCCCTCGCCATCCGAACGGGCGATGGCCCGCTGCCGCAAGACCCCAGGGAATCCAGGGAAAATGACGACCTTCTTCCCTGCAATCTCCTCAGGCTCCCAAGATGGCGCTGGCTGCGCAATAAACGGTCTCACAGCACAGCAGGAGGAGAACACAGGATCACAGACAGCATATCATCACCCAGATGCCAGGCTAAGGAGATCCTTATACCCAGGGAACCCGGGTAAGTTGTCTCCCCCCCTGTCCCCCACATCTAGTAGCCCTGCTAAATCCAGGCCCAGACTGGACACAGGATCACCCTCTGACAGACAGTCATCCCCACCAGCCGCAATTCTGACAGAAAGAACTCCATCCTCTGACCAGCCTATCACAGAGATTGCCATGAAAAACATGCTCCTATCTCTGTGCCAAACAATACATAACGACATGATGACATCATTATCGCAAATCTCAAATATGGTTCAAATGCATGAGAAGCGCATCTGCCATATTGAGAACAAACTAGGAGAAATGTGTACCACATACAATGCCTCATAGATGCCCACACAGATCATACAGATGACATCGAACCAATCAATCTCAAATTGGCAGATTTAGAAGATCGCTCCAGGCGAAACAACATCAAATTCCGTGGCATACCGGAATCCGTCACCTCAGAAACCATTGTCCCATATATTCAACAGTATATGAAAAATTAAATCCCTGCCCTCACAGACGTGGAGCTAGCAATAGATGATTTGAGCACATCGAATCCCCAAACCATCATTTCTACCAGCGTCGGTACCCAGAGATACACTGGCGCGCATACATTTTTATCATGTAAAAGAAAAAATTATGCTCGCAGCAAGAAATTCCACCTCAACTCCCTCAGACCAATCAAACATTAAATTGTTCGCAGACCTATCCAAAGCCACACTCGCCAACCGTAAAAAGCTTGTCACCATAACTAAAGCTTTACGGAACTATGGGATTGGATACCAATGGGGCTTTCCCACAAAGCTAAATGTCAAACACCAAGGCAAATTTTACACAATCAATCTCTAGAAGCAGGCATCGAGTTACTGAAAACGTGGAACATCATTCCAGTGGACTCCCCACCAACCAACACCCAACAGGCCACAACGGATGGAAGCAGAATGGTCATAAACCCACACACACATATCTACTCTCTTCTAGCCCAATACCCTGGGCCTCACCAAAGCATTAGCTGGCGATCGGCCCTAGATCAAATACGTCAATCTTTCAAGTTCATCTGAAGCATGAGCTCCCGTGTGAGTCATGCTTATCCGTGCCTCCTCAGTCTACAGTAGCTGTTTTTGCTACATGTTACCTGTGTTTTTTACAGGTCTTTTTTAGCCCTGTTCTTTCCCCAACCTACCAGTCAACAGTCGCCAACATCACCCCTCTTAACGAACCCACTTACACAAGTGAACACTCTCACTACAACCAAGACCAACCCAAACCCAGTAAACTACATACTCAACGGTCCACCACCTCTGTCAAGCGGAACAATGCACATCTTCACAATTCCTGAATCACCACTGCAACGAGATTCTACCCCATCTACTACCAACAATATGATTACTATAACCTCGCTAAACGTCCGGGGCCTCAACTCCCCTTTCAAAAGATCTTTGCT